AAAAGTAGCAGGACAGGAGGATTAGAAACATAAATATAGCAATTTGTTGCACCACCAGTGGTGGTGGTGGTGGAAGGTGATAGGTGCAAATATACTAGTTCGATGCATTGACGCGCAAAACAGCGTTTTTTTCAATAAATGTTTTCAAATATTCCTTTCCTTTTACGGTCTTCCTGTCTATCTTGGACCTTTATTTATCTTGTGCTATTGATCCATCTTGCAAAAGAAACGCCTCATGCCACAGCATCCAAAGTGCTTCAGAAGCAGATAGTAGATAAACACATCGAACATAAAGGGCGTAGTTGCCCTGCAAACATGCACAAGCTCCTGTGAGCCACAGCTGGAACGAAGGTGCTGCAATAGGCCTTCAAACGTTGAGAGTTGGGCTTCACAAAAAACTGAACGTGGGATTTAGTTTTCAGGGAAAGCCGGCCAATATATCCACATAACAAGGATACCAAAATACCAAAGATACGACTGATTTCCCGGAGCATTCATCTATAATGGATTTATAGGATTGACCCACCCCCTTTATTGGCTTGGTCCACCTCCAATAACAAACGCCTTTCAAACATGTTTCTGGCACAACAATTGAAATTTCCGCACTAACCCTCTCACCCTCTAACATCCTCTAACCCTCCCAATTTTTGCACTTTTTGTTTCAGTCTTGGGGCCCCTCCTCATGAAGAGAAACTTAGTCTTTGGGGCCTCTCCTCATGAAGAGATTTAGTTTTTGGGGCCTCTTCTCATGAAGAGAATTGTCTTGCTGGGGATCCCGCCTCATGAAGAGATTTGGTCTTTAGGGCTTTCCTCATGAAGAGATTCCGTCTTGGGGATCCTTCCTCATGAGGAAATTTAGTCTGTGGGGTCTCTCCTCATGAAAAGATTTAGTTTTGGTGACCTCTCCTGATTGACCGATTGACCTGCCCAATCAAAAAATCGAATTGCACTTTTCTGACCACTCCAAAATAGCAGGGTTGGGTTTTATTAATCCGGTGATTCCACTTTCAGCCATGACCCGGAGGAGACGCAAAAGCCAAACAAGGCACGAATCCTACTGATCTTGAAAGAAAAACTCCGCAACTCTATAGACAACATAAGTAGAGATACGTACGCCAAGGGAATACCAATAGACCAACGCAACAGCGGCATCCGATGCTTTCTCGACGGTCCAGGAGTTCAGGAGTTTGTCCACCTGAAAAAGAACATCGACTATGATACATGTTCTTCTTTGATTTTTCACTTCGGCCTTCAAGCTTTGCTGCCGTAGCCTGCAGGACGGCTTGTGGGCAGCGCGTCAAGTACTCAGAGTAAGTGTTGTAGATGTTCAGAAGGAGGGGCACCTCACGAGGGAAGGTCATTGGCCGTGGGCAGTTGCAAGCACTGTCGGGCTACTTTACAAGCAAAAAACACATAGACACTTATCCGCCGACCCCTGCCTAGCTGACGCCTAGGCGGGGTGCTGTCTATGGGATTCCAAAACCAACATTAGAGACTGGCAGCAATCACACCCAACCCTAGACTCAGGGCCCGTCGTGCCAGGAGATACTTTGCTTACCTCGGAGCCCCAAGATGGGCCAACGTAGCCCCAAAATGGGCCAACATAGGCCCAAGACGGGCTCAACATGGGTCAACATGAACCCAAGCTGGCCCAACATGGATCCAAGGTGCGCCAACATAGGCCCTAGATGTCACAACATAGACCCCAAATGGGCTCAACATCGCCCCAAGACTGCCCCACATAGCCCAAAGATGGGTTCGACCTGGCCCCAAGACCACAACCATGACCAGAACCACCGCAACAACAAGAACAAGAACAAGAACAACAACAACAACAATAATCCCTCCGCCCACTTTCTTTGCTCTTCCCACTTCCCCTGTTTTGGGCTCCTGGCCAGCTGTCGGGCGTAAGCCGCTACGTCCGGCCAGGGGCCCGCCCCAACTGGCCGTGGTATCCCGGGTTCAAGGAGAGAGGGGCTCCACCCAGGGGGTTTAGACCTGGAGGAGAGTCGGGCGTCAGCCCTTCAATCCGGCGACGCCGTTCCATTACCCCTATCAAGCTAGCTTGCTATATTGTAGAGCTTCGCAGACCGGTGATGCCGGTTGGGCGCGTGTTCGCTATCGTGTTCAGTTTCTGTGTTTTTTTTGGGGTTGCCTTTTTTCTTTTTTTGCTTTGTTATTAAGTTGTTGTTCCTTTCGAAGGCGTCGCGCGCGCACACGCGCGCGCCCCCGAGACCTCGTATCAAACATGTTTGAGGCGGTGGAGATGTTTTTTAATGACAAAAAGATAGAACACACTGTAAAAATCAAAGTTTTTTGCTCAAAACATTGTATTTACGAGGTTCTCTCGAAAAACGCGATACTTGCAGCATTTCGCCCACCACTGCGACATGTTTTTTCTAGATCGAAACTTGTGAAAACACTGTAATTTACAATGTTTCGCGTCTGGGCGCAAGCCGAAAAGAGGCTTCAAAACTGTCAGTGTCAGGCCCAAATCCAACTTTCCAGTTCCCAATTTTTTTGCCCAACTTGTCTGATTTTTTGACGACTTTTTCGACTTCACAGAATCACAAAAAAGGCCTCTCCCCCACCAGGCTCAAGGATTTTACTACATTTATCGTTTTCCCGTTTTTTGAGTCGCTCCAGAAGCAAAAACGGCTCGAAATGCAGGCGAGAGCGCAACTTTTAAAGCTCAATTTCACAAAACACCGTAAGGGGGGGTTGCCGGCATGGGGAGCACCCCCCCGTACCTAAAGCTAGAGGCGATCAGCAACACGAGATGCGCTCCATGCCGCCGACCCGTATTTCTAGCATCACCAGGGTTCATGTGGCTTCGTCAAACCGTCAAAAGCTTTTTAGCTTCAAAATATCTAGAAAATAAAGCCTTGAAAGTGGAGACAAATGTTTGGCCAAATTTTGGTCGAGCATCGTTAGCATCAGCAGAGTCTCAGCAGGAAAGATGCAAATCCTTTGGAGCATGACTAGGCGCGTAAATTGCAGTGTTTCTGCAAAATGTATGTAGTTTATGAACAATGCTGCTCGTACTCTGGTGATGCCAATGGTGCTCGACACAAATTCCACCTCAAAACTTCCTCTCCCCTTTGCATACCTTCTTCTCTAGAGATAAAGCTTTACAGTATCAGTAGCCATTCTTAATCACTTTCCCTCTGTTTTTGCCGTTTTTCAATCATACACACGTCCTGGTGATGTTCAAGACTTGGTACTGGAAAGCGCCGAAAAACTGTATTTTGATGTATTTTGTGCATTTTCTAGCCTAAAGCCATCTGTGTTTACAGGGTTCGCGGACGCAAAGGTGGCTCCAACTTCACCTATTGGGCGTGCCTGCGCCTGCGCGTGCATGCGTGCGTGCGTGCCTGCATGCGTGCGCGCGCGCTCCTGTGCGTGCGTGTGCGCGAGTGCGCGTGCATGTGCGTGCGGGTGCGCGTGCGGGTGCGGGTGTGCATGCGCGTACGTGTGTCTGAAGCTGAGGTTGCCAGGCTTTTTACATCATACCCTCATGCGCACACCTGTGTGGGAGTGTGTATGCGCAGGCGTCCAGAAGCTGTGCTAATCGTCGATTTTGCTGTGCAAAAAGCCTGTGGATACGCGCAGTCCCCAGGGCATCGCCGGTTGGCGAAGCCTGTCATATACAGCATGTTATCCCCATCTCGTTTTGGCCTTAAACTTTTCTCATAGACAGAAAAAAACCTGTTTTGGAATGTTTTGGCTAAGTTTTCTGCTAATAAGTTAGGGCATGTGGTATGGCTAAAAGTTCCCACCTGCAGTTCTTCCTTCATGTCAACATCGGTTTTTGCTCCCAGCTCCTGCTGCAACTCTGCCCGTGCGCGCTGCAAGAGGTCCGACTCCACAGAGCTGTCATCCCGGCAGAAATGATCTGGCAGGAGGGTGCCAAGTCACAAAGCGGTTGCACACACAGTACATTCAGAAACCAACAATCGCAAAGAACACGTGCGCGGGTTGAAGCAAACGATCCGCCCAAACACCTCGCAACTTCAGCGGTTAGTTTGTTTGTGCGTTCACTTAGATTTAAAGGTTCGATCTTTGGCGGGTGGTTTGCGATGTTAACGGAGCGCATGACACGTGAGAAGCGATAAATAGTTGGTTAACAAAAATATACCGGTGTGTTTGAGAGAACACTAGAGAAAACGCATCGCGAACAGCAAAAAACACTGTACAGTATCTAAGTTTTTAAACAAGAAAGACCTTGCGCAAAGGAGAAAAGCCTTTAAGGATCTTTAAGGAAAGAAAAGGTGAAGTAACACTGCAACATGAAATAAAGCTATACACTGTAGAAGGGTTTTGATACCTCCCCAGAAGATACTGCAAATATGTTGCATTGGTTTGGGATTTTGGAGTGTATGTTTTGAAGAACACACTGCAGATCACAGTAGTTTTGACTTGGTTTCAGCTGCAGTTATGTCTTTTGTTCTTGCAAGAGTAACACCTACATATTGGATATTTTTTGCCAGAAGCACTGCAAACAGAGTCCAGAGTGTTTTTGATGATGAAAAATCCTCTCTCTCTATCCGTTCTGGATACAAACACCTTCGTGGAGGCTTTGACATGATTGATCACGCGCTAACCTTCTCCAAGATGAAGATGCTCCTGAAGACTTTCCTGCAAGGCTTGAGCAATGTGGGGCAGATTCTCGTTGAACAACACCGCCGTGCCAACCGCTGGAAGGATCTCTCGCTGCATTCAACTGGCAATCCGAGGAATCCTCTGCTAGGCACATTGGGCAGTTTTGCGCAAAACAGCGTCTCAGCTGCAGAAGCGCACGGCATCCAACAATGTCTACTAGTCTACTGCAACGGTTTCTGGCCGCTTTTCTTCAGTGCTGATTCACTTACTTCTATCTTCGTATCTAAGTGTCTCAAAATGTCTCAAGCCTCCTATATTTAGATACATGATGCATGATGTTGGAGTCCGCAATTTGATCCAGCGCTGGACCGAAAATGCTTTCGAACACTCACAGCAATGCGACTCAGCAATATCTCTTTGAGAGCTGCAACAATACCCATGTCAAATGACTGCAGTATACTTATAACTTTACTTGAAGCTTCAATCCTTCATGTTAGGCTGTTTCCTCCATGACTGCTTCTACTCGAATCTTTCTGCACCAACTCAAGAGACCAAAACCCATCTTTTCGACAATTCTGGCTCAATCATTGGCCAGCTGCGCTTCGTCCTCCTACAGGGCTGAAGCCGCAAAGTGGCTTTGAAGACTCAATTTCAAGTTTCTGCGCTGCAGCATTGTTTAGATAATTATATCACCACCTTAGCCTGATGATCTAATTAAAGGTCTGTCTTTGGATGTCATTTCGCTCTATCTTAAAGGTTCGCTTGAAAAATGAAGCGCCTTCCAGCAACACGAGCAGCACAGCGCGTCCTCCCCGCCAAGGAGAAGCCTATTCTGAATCCTGTGCAACTGCTCCCGCAACCTTATTCTTCGGAGTTCAAGAGCTTGAAGATGTTTTAGGTACCTCTTTAAAGTTATTATGTTTCGTATCATTCTTATTACAATAGTAATAATATTAATAATAACAAACGTAATAATAGTGACACTAATAATAGTAATACATATATTTATGTATTATATTGTATAACCAATTATTATGTTATATTATATTACATAACCAACTATATATGTTTAAAGGCTTGGGGGGTAGGCTGTATATGATAGTAGCTAACTTGAGTGGGCCGCTACTAGGAACTGGACGCAGGAAAGCTCACGCACTATTCATGTGGTTGCAGATTTTTACGAACACTTAGCAAGAAGCTAGCAAACCGTCGTTTGACCTCTGATGTCCAAACACCGTTGTACATCTGTCAAGTCAGTCCAGGCAATGTCAAGGAGCTTGTGCAAGGGCTGCAACTGGTCTTTGAACGTTTTGAGGGCCTCTCCGAATATTGCTTGTATACAGTAATGAGTTAAGCACACTATAAGAAATTACTTGCCAAAGTACAGAACCGCAAAAACAGCAGAAACAATCCCGCCTGAGAGGTAAGGTCCGAAATGATCACAGCTGTCACTGTGCCAAACACCACAAACACATAGACGTAGCAGGTCAGCTGATTGATGACCTTAAGGGTTAGGGTTTCTTATAGATTTGCGTTCAAACTGGCGTTTCTATAAAGCTCTTTGAGTGCTTCACAGGCTGGATGATGTGGAGCTTTAACATCAGCAGGAAAGTTGCCGTGAAAATGATCATGGTGGTCTGGCCAAATGCAGCTGTTCGTACAGAAGGCTTCAGGTCTTGTGGGCGAACCATGCAAGTAATTAAACATAATTAAACAAAATGAGGTTGCTTCCTATAATATCCTATGGTTCCTTGTTCATTGAAGCAACACACACACACAAACAAAACTGGAATGCCGTAAATCATGCCATAGTGGTACCTTGCTTCTCAAGTTATACTATAATGCACAATCACGAACAATCGCGGCTGGCACACTGGGAGGTCCCTAAGTGACAAAAACCATTTGTTAGTCACCTTCTAGTTCCAGCACAGCCCAGCTTAAACATGGACCCAGCCGTAAGTGTCGCTTTTGTAGTTGCAGAAAGGCTCGCCCAGAAGGACCTTGGCCACAAACATGTGCCATTTGGTTGATGCAACCTTGCTTGCAAAATGTTTCGCAGCGCATAATGTTAAGTCAACCTTCAAAGATCAACGCCAATGGTGCATCGACTGAGGAGTTCACAAGAGCGATGATATTCGAAAGCCCTGCGGCTTGGAATTGTTGTTGTTGAGTTGATCAGCTATCCCGTCAAACACTACTGGAACAGGCAGGGTTTCTGTCCAATATTCAGACCAGCTCTGGCCGTGGAAGTGCACGTTTTCAATACAATTATATATTCGAGAAATAAATCACCTCAGCACTTGCAAGTGTACAGTACTGCCAAAGGCCTCAGCCAAGAGTTGGCTTACAGACCAACAAAAACAATCTATGCAGATGCTTTGGGGGCCTCCCAAAAAAAACGCGGCAGCTTGATGCTTTGCAAGCGAACCTTGAAAGTTTTTGCCGCCAGTTTCGGGCCATGAGAAAAAAGGAAGACGAAGCAGAATCATCTCAGCCCAAGCATCCAAAAAGAGCCACGGCAAACAAAAGGAGACACAGGGATACAAACCAGAATCATCACACCCCATAACTCAAGAAGAGTCATGGGAGGGGGGGAAGGAAAACCAAGTAGAATCATCTCGGCCCAGCGTCCAAAAGAGCCATGGGAGAGAAAAAAAATCATCTTGGCTCAGGATTGTTCCTATGCAAGAATTGAGTACCTCTCACAGCAAAGCTGTTTGGGGAAGTATCTATGGAGACTCTTGTAGACCCCCTTTTGGAGTGTTTCTGTTGATTCTCTTGGATGCCACCTCTTCCCAGTCCAAGATCTTTGGATAGTTGCGGTTACTTGCTGCCGCCTTTTTGTCCCAAACCAAGAAACATATGTGGCGAATGCCTTTACCTTTTTTGCTGTGTTTTCATGTGCTAAGCAATGTTTTTTATATAAATATTTGCCTGTCTGGAGGAGTCCAAGAACCTTGGCGTACGTTGCAGGACTTATTGTTACCTAGGATTCTTGCTTTAGTATTTCGACTCAACTCGCCTTCCCTTCTTAATCTAGGTTTTTCTCCTCGAGAATTATCTGGTTCCTCTTGTGGTTTCTCGTGGTGGCAGGCGAACCCTACAACGTGCACACTTTTTAGCTTCTACCTGCAAGGACTATCCAAGAATTACCCGCGGACGTGAATCAAAGCGGCACGAAGCCCGAACAACGATCGAATGGCAACATTCTTTCTTTCCTCTTTGCAATGATCTGACACCGAAGCACAACTTGGTTGGTCCAAGGATAAAGCACGAATGCTCGGAAGGCACGAAGGCAAGAAACTAAGGGCATGGCCAAACGAAAGCAAAGCTGGTTGCGGATTCAAGTACATCAAGGTGCTTAATTACGAAAGCGGTGGTGTCGTCAACGTAAAGGACAAATCGTTCCGTGTTTTCTTTGTGCTGGTCAGCGTGTTCTGAACCCAGCGCGCAGCGTTGAGGCCACCTACAAGTGAAGGCCGGGACGCAATGCCTGGCTTCACTGCAGAAAAACCTAATCTGCGTGCTGACAAAGCCTTGGTACAATATGCGAAAGGCATGGCAATGACCCCTTTGCGAACAAGCATGTTGAAACCCGTCCCAAGGTGGGAGAGACATGATACACAAGCGAATTGTTTTTTGAAGCGTACCTAGCAGCGAACCCACACTTCTTAGTCCCAGGAATGAGTGTTGGGGCTAGTGTACGTGCGTGCGCAATGAAGTCGATATACAATCCACACCAAGGGATCGAAAAACAACACGAAAATAACAAAGTGGGGTGGTGACTGAGCACCCAAGCGATACAAGAAGGAGAGTAGTAACTTTCAAAAGGTTTCAGTAGCAACAGACCAAGAAAATCAGGGATTCACCATCCTTGAGGGAGGGGAGAGGCCCAGAACAAGGAGGAAAAGGGGGAAAACATCACAGAAACAGCAGAGATGTGTAGGAGGAGAGGAGAAGGGAAAAGGTTAGGAGAAACCGGAGAGCGCGGGCAGGGACAAATAAAGGCGAGGTAAGAGAGGAAACTCCTGAGGGACGGTCCCCTCACAGAACAGGCTTAGGAGGCGGCCAACAAACACCACAGGGGCCGGAAACACAGGCGCGCAGTGGAGAACCGAACCACTCCTTGACAGCGGGTCAAGGGCGAAAGTCGCGAGCCGAACCATGGCCCTTAGGACTCCGCAGACCCGGACCTTCACCAGAAGACTTGGCCGTAGGGTCGGGAAGCTCAAGATCGGCCAAGACTGACCGTTGGCAGCCACAGTACTGTAATCGGGCTGGTCTGAACCCAAGATCATGGTCTTCCCCCAAAAATGGGCGCAAGGCAGAGGATTGCATGGTTTGTTTCCATACTTGGGCAAATTGGCAAGGGTGTCGGCAGGTTCGGGCTTGCACGCGAGCGATGTATCTAGCAACAAACTGTCCCACCTGCTCTCTGCCGGACGTTCAGGTAGACGCTCCTCTTTGGGTGTCGAATTACGGATCCAAGTAGTCCACATGGCCCTTTGACGAACAGGACAACGGACCGGCGAGAAGCATCGGATGCCTGGCGGCGGGTGACCTGAAGAACGCCGTCCGGCCGCCTCAGCCAACTTCTAGGCTTTGTCAGCCTGTCCAACTCAGAGGCCTGGCCTTAGCATTCTTTGTTTTCGGATCGGAAGCGGAGCCAAACATAGACAGCGCGATGCAGCAAGGACAAACACGCGGTGCAAAACAACTACGGGGCATACATGGGCATGCACATGGTGTTTGAGCCGATGGAGCGAAACAACATGTATTTGGTGAAATACGGATGCGCATAACGGACACCGAATTGGGAAGGAGAGATCTGCAACGGGGCGCTCATGATTCACGCGCATACGAACACTGTCGTTGCTGTTCACAAATTAAACTGACGCGTGGCTGCTCCTGTTGTCAATGGCCCCAGACACAATGCCAGAAATCTATATACAGTATTTCAAAATGGTTTGCCACCCAACAATCTTGAAATATAGTTGCTCCTGTATTGATGTAGTTGCCGCTACCCTTCCTTGACGAGTACGTTTCACTATCAATTTCGCTCTATTTTGGTTTGCATTTCGTTCTCGGTCGAGGTGGAACATGAGTATAAGAAAAACAAACGGTTAACCAACAATAATTGCTCTGGATAAGGTGGGACGCATGTTTGTACAATAAGGATCTACTCAAAAATGACAATTCCACGAAAAAGAATAACAGTGTATGATACAGACAGGAGGGTTTCGGATAAGGCAGAATGCAGTTTCTGTAAGACTGGACTGGACTTGCCGTATCTAGATATCTTAAGGCACATTTATGTAGGACTTCACACATGTCAGGTGACGTCAAAAATGCAAGAACAGTGCACTTCCACAGCCTCCAGGAAACAATTGCAATTATTTGACCTGTCTGTCTCTCAATTAACTAAGTCT